GTCTAAGTGCTATTGCTATGAATGCTGCAGCTAGCTCGGAGCGACTCAAAAGCAAAACCCTTCTGCTCAGTGGCTGTACAGGGTAGTCCTCGACTTACGATTACCTTTGGGACCAGACTTTCTGTTGCTAAGCAAGGCAGGTGTTCAATGAGCCTTTCATAGAACCTTTTTTGACATGATTGTTAAGCAAATCAGGCAGTCATTAAGTTCATCGGGCTTCCTCCATTGACTTTGCTTGTCAGAAGCCACAATGATGCTGCGACTGTCATAAATACATGGCAGCCTCCAAGTGCCCAGATTTTGATCATGTGACCACAGGGATGCTGCAACGGTCATAAGTGTGAAGAGCAGTCATTGGTTGCTTTTTTCAGTGCTATTGTAACATTCGATGGTTGCTAAATGAATGTCTATGAATCAAGGACAGGATTTAGAATGTTTTTAGCAAAATCCTCCCAAAACTCACAGAAGGGTAAGGGCTTTGGATACAGATTTCACTGTTCCAACTGGGTGGATAATGTGAGGACAATTTTAAGGCTACTGTTTCAACCTCTGTTCCCCCGTCTGTATAATGGCATAGAAATAACTAAGGTCCATTGATTAAATGTGACCCAAGGTCAGGGGTGGGTTTCAGGCTGTTCACGGCGGTCCCCGCGAACCGGTTGGTCGGCGAACCCGGAAGTAAGTAACTTCCGGGAACGCCGAAGGATCCATCCACCCGCCCGCGTTTTTTACCCGGTTTTGACTAGTTCTGCACTTCCACGCATGCGCAGAACCCATACAGCGCCTGCGCGATCCTCCAGGAGCAGCTGGAGCATCGCACAGGCACTAGTACGCATGCGTGCACTGCGCACGTGCACAAGGACCCCGCCGGCCCCGTTCCAACCGAACTGGTTGGAACGGGACGAGAAACCCACCCCTGCCCAAGGTATGGAGGTTTCATAGTCTTAGTAAGCCCTAGTAAGTCCACACCTAGAATCCTGCATCCAGTTTTAGTCTCCACACTATAAAAAAGATGTTGAGACTCCGGAAAGAGTGCAAAGACGAGCAACCAGGATGATGAGGGGACTGGAGACTAAAACATAAGAAGAACGGTTGCAGGAACTGGGCATGGCT